TCATTATACCGAGAACGTGTAATTCATTTTTTGTTTTTGACACTGAAGAGAATTCTCAAATTCATCTAATGATAGTGCTCCTAGGTCATTCTGTTATCTAATTGTATCAGGAAATCAAAAAATTGCCTTACTCTGCTTTGGTCTGAAATGCTGGGAAACTGGGAGCCCCCCCCCCCCCGGCAGACGTTTGCGCGCCTTTTGCGCACTCGTGACGCGTCTTCGCCGCGTACTTGTGTGGGCCTTAGTCAATAACCTGACATGTGGGCCTTCGGCCTACCAGTCCCGCACTGAGTAACAGTATTGTTAAAAACCGTAAGAATACTTCATCACTTGTCGAACAACGGCTTCAAAATGTAGGTGTCCATTGCCTAGAAAGACCCGAGGCAGCAACCGGATATAACGTGTGTAAAGTTTGTGCAGAAAAGTACAACCGATATTAAAATATACTATTCAAAAAAAGTAGGGGATATTTGATTTTTAAGTGTTATTAAAGTCACCTAATGAAACTGACGAAGAAACAAATGACAAAATGAAATGAAGTTCACATTCATCGATTTATTCCAAATGATCGTTAGACTAAGTAAGGCACAGACTGACCATTATAAGGGTAAAATGATACCCGGGGTCAAACAGCAAAGTTACCACTGCATCACAACCAAGTCAGTAACGGGTAAATCCTCCTCTGTTTGCCAAACAAGCATCGATCCGACGTGGCATACTCCTAATGAGACGTCTAAGGTCATTTTGGTCCAGATTGTCCCATTCCTGTTGCAACGCAGCAGCAAGTTCTTGGACATTGGCAGGACGTTGTTGACGTTGACGTAACCTCTGTCCAAGCATGTCCCAGACATGCTCGATGGGGGAGAGGTCGGGACTCAGTGCTGGCCAAGGTAATGTGGTGATGTTCTGTTGTTGGAGGTAACCTGTAACGATCCTGGCCCTGTGACATCTTGCGTTGTCATCCTGGAAGATGAAACGGCGGCCATGACGTCGTGCGAACGGCACAACATGGACTGCCAAGATGTTGTCCCGGTAGTACTGGCCTGTAACCCGCCCTGCAACAACATGTAAAGCCGTTCTTCCAGCAACAGTGATGCCTCCCCACACCATAACAGAACCACCCCCAAATCGATCATGTCTGATGACGTTAACGTCTTGGAAGCGCTCGTTTCGACGACGCCACACCCTCCTACGTCTGTCCAAAAAATCAACAGTGAACCTTGACTCATCTGAAAACATCACATTGCTCCAGCGTCGATTATCCCAGTGTTGACGATCCCTACACCAACGACGTCTTGCCTGAATGTGATGATCTCTCAAACAAGGGATCACGCGAGGACGTCGGGCGCGAAGGTGACCCCTATGCAGTCGATTCCGAATCGTCTGGCCACTCACTCTCACACCAGTGTCTGTTTGAAGACGAGCGCTGATCTGATTTGCTGTGATGACACGATTTCTCAAGGCCAAGATACGGATAAATCGATCCTGGGCTTGAGTTGTCGCCCTTGGTCGACCTGAGCGTGGTCTGTCCTGTACAGATTGTGTATCACGGTATCTGGACCATAGCCTGCTTATGACAGACTGAGAAACATTCATCGTCCGCGCCACAACCGCCTGTGTTGTGCCGATCTGTAGCATGCCAAGGGCACGTAACCTTTCATTTTGGGTAAGCCGACGCATATCAAAATTTGTTTTCTGGTCACTAAAACAATTAAACTGATGTTTCCACCCTGGAATATAATGCCACAATGACTGTAACATTCAAAGTCAGAGTCGTGCAAATCTTGGGTTGGACCCCCATGATGATCCCAAGCATCACCTGCATTCCATGCGGTAGCTATTGGTGCGTTTGGGCGTCACATGTAACTGTAAATGTTTCTTCTGTTAGGTTCTATAGTGACTTTTTTCGTAGTCATTTGCATATTTTAGTATTATGCCCCCAAAATCAAATATCCCCTACTTTTTTTGAATAGTATATATGAAGTCTCATGAAAACGCCAAAGAAATTCCCGTAAAACAAACCCGCACTGTATTTCGTTGCAGTCAGTGTCAATTTACCTCTGCATTCGACACAACTCAAAATGCTGGTTTTCTTGGCATAATTTCAAAGAATATTGGAGAGATTCATAAAAGCCGTCACCCAAAGTTTATTGTTATTACGTGTAAGTTATATGCTATAAGGTTGTTGTTATTACACGTATGTGTGTAAGTTATGCTAAAAGTTTGTTGTTATTACACGTATGTGTAAGTTACGCTAAAAGTGTGTTGTTATTACACTTACATGTATGTGTAAGTTATGCGTAGGGGTCATTGACAGTGGTAAAAAACCAAATTAGAGAGAAAAGGCACGAGGTTGGACAGGCGACAAGAATCGAAACCACGCGACTTGACTCAATGACACCCCTTACACACGCATTAGATCATAGGCACCCACAGTCCAACCCCTTGATCTTAAGTCTAATCACCATAAATCCAGTAAGTGAAAAGTCGACTAGGGCGTAACTAGAGACGATTTATCTACATTTAACTACGACATTTCAGTATCTCACAGCACATAAATGAAAATACAATTTCTAAAAGTGGGTTGTAACTAGAGACGACTTATCTACAGTTAACTACGATGTTTCAGTATCCCATAGCACATAGAATACAATTTCTAAAAAAATATATAAAAAATAATATATGTTATATTAATTTAAACACGTAGGTAGTACATGTCTACATTGTTTATTACGTGATGGGATACCCCAACAATTTCACTGATATCAATACAATGTTACACCGTATCACAGTTACAACGATGGTGTTGAGCTGTTTCGATAGTTTTCTTTGGTTCAACATGATGCTAAAAGAAAAACAAAATTAAGTATTGAATTAATAGGGAATTTTATTTTTTGTATTTTGTTTGTTTTTCTTCTTTTCTAAATATATATTTAAATTTTCTAATAAGGTATTTTTCGTGTAGAATGAAATTTATACCCCACACTTATTTCTTACCTGAGCCCTGGGTACATCGAGTAGAACAGGTACAGAGATTATGATAACATCTTAAGTTAGCTGAATTACAACTTGTAGCAGTACAGTCGCTGGTTGTCTGACAACTTTCACTCGCCGCTAGAGCTGCTCACATGAAAAGGGAAGAGAAGTTTCAGATAAAATGAATTATAGCTTCTCATTATAGCTCTACTTGGTAAATATAAGCCATGTCAGCTACATCAAACGGTTAATTAGGGATAAAATAGATTAATTTTAGTTGAATATCTAAACTTAATAGGACATTTATTTAAGAACGTTTGATATCTACTACGTGCATTTCTAAGAAATTTCTGTAAATCTAATTCTAGTCTGTCAAGCAGCATCACCCGATGATTACTTTAGGTAATATCATATATGGTGTCGATAAAGTGGATATAAAAACTTCTCATGTTCTTCCACGAAACAGATCAATAAGAAATAAAAAGACACTAAATATTATTATGGTATAATATAACCGACAAAATCTCAAACTGCCTACTACCAGTACTACCCTACATATATCACTATTCCTACTGTTTATTCACTGTGCATTTACTGGTGCATCTCTTTTCTGCGCCCAGTCGCCCACCAAGAGAAATGTGGCATGGCTGTTTAAATTAAATATCTCTTTCTTTATACGCAAGTATTGTACAAGAGAATACAAGTGGAGATGATGAAAATATTTGTGTTAGATGTTTTTTGTTTGTTTTTTTATAATTACGGTTGGAAGCCATTGATTGCCTTGTTCTGTTTAAAACTAGAATATCATACCTTAACCATCGGATAGAATAATTTTTTAAAAAGATTCTACCTACAGGACAATCGAATAGCAGAATACAAAGTGACCACAAGAATAAAAGGTTGAAAGAATTTATGTGCCATCAGCTGTCTTTCAAATGCATGGAATAAGGTAACATTTGATTATCAGAGAGTAGCACTAAGGGACAATCGGTGCAACCGAGTGTCAGATTCTCAGGCCGTCCAACCTATCATCCTCAACGACCATCGATCTTACAGATTATTGGTCCATGAATAGAATAACGGACATGCATAGACGTACAATCTTTGATGCTATATATTTGGTCATATTTGTGTAACCCTTCCCTTCCAGTGCTTCCGTCCAAGATTAATACCAGTGTATCTTGGCTGTAAGTGGCTAATCCTAAAGAACGACGCAGATTGCGATAATGAAAAGACAGGTTATGACCCGATCTCCCATCCCGCTAAAACCGGTCAGATCTTAATCAGTTTAACATCAAGGCCTAAACATATCTGAGTTTAAACATATGGCACATTAAAGAGTTGTTTTGTTGAAAAAAACATACACATATTGCTTTCCACATCTGAAACTAAGTAAACATAAATTGCTCACTCTCTGTCAAGTCACACACTAAATTTACCTACTGTAAGAAGTTATATACAGACAATATTTTAATAGGGTCCAGGAACCTGTCCTAAGTTAGGCAAGCGGTGATTTCCAGCATATCGGACATCTGGGCAATTTTTCAAAACGCTATTTTTCACTTCAAACGTAATATAAATAATAATTTAGGCATTTATACAAGTGACAAACCCATAATCAACTCGCTAGGCTGTAAGCTGGCTTAGATATTGGATGGAAAAGAACCATTGCGCCACTTAATAACTAAACGATAACTAAATAACCGAAACGTGTCAAACTTGAAAAAATACAAACCCTCGTAATTTCGAGTAGAATAAAGTAATTTGACTGAAATTTGCAATATATTCATTTTTCATTGTCTTTTTTTTTTGGTAATAAAATGGCACGAAATCCCAGCTTAATAATACATAATGCTTCTTTAAGGGAATAACATGTCAATTAAAAAGATAAATGCTGTCAGCATATATACTGTAACATATGGATTTATGTTTATACATCTGTAAACTTTCAAAATTCAATCATAAGACAATCATTACTTTCTTCGGTGGAATGTCTATTTTAATTTTATGTTTACTATAAAAGCCTACAGTGCCAGGGATAGACAACCATTTAGTTGACAAGAGACGGTAGTGTAAACAAGATGAGAAGTTTTATAATCCTGGCTGTGTGTGTAGGTCAGTATTATGCTTTATTTTCCCAATTATTACGATTCGCTTGTCTCCAAGTCATACATCACCAAACCCCGGAGTACGAAAACATGAATGGTACTCTGGGGATGACAAAACACTGCAGCTTTATTATCAGCGATATTATTTGAGGTAGAATTTTTTAAAAAGTATTCCATCTGATGGTCATTGGCTTCAAACCGTAATTTAAAATATATATATATATATATATGATGAAATATATATATATATATATATATCATAGTATAAAATATATTTTATACTATGATATATGATACTGTACATTAGAACAACAACTCACTACAGCTATATATATATATATATATATATATATATATATATATATATCTCATCTCCACCTGCATTCTCTTGTATGATACTTAAGTATACAAAAAAGAGATATTGAATTTAAGCAGCCATGCCACATTTATTTCTCTTGGTGGGCGACTGGGCGCAGAAAAGATGCACCAATAATTTCATAGTGAATAAACAATAGGAATAGTAAATAAGACGTGTAATCAAGTTGATGAAGATATGGATGTCCCCAAATACTATTATCCATCCCATGTAAAAGTGATATATTTAAAGTAATAGTACTGGTAGTATGCAGTTTGGGATTTTGTCGGTTATATTATACCATAATAATTTTTAGTGCCATTTTTATTTCTTATTGGTCTGTTTAGTGGAAGAACATTATGGGATATTATTCAAAGTAATAATCGGGTGATGCTGCTTGACAGACTATAATAAGATTTATAAAAATAATTAGAAATACACGTAGTAGATATTAAAAGTTCTTAAATAAATGTCCTATTAAGATTTGATATTCAACTAAAATGAAATCTATTTCTCCCTAAATAATCTTTTGAAGTAACTGACCTGGCCTATATTTACCAAGTAGAGCTATAATAAGAAGCCCAATAGGTTGAATAAGTCATTTTATCTGAAACTTCTCTTCCTTTTTATGCGAGCAGCTCTAGCGGCGAGTGAAAGTTGTCAGACAATCAGCGACTGTACAGCTACAAGTTGTAAATCAGCTACCTTAAGATGTTATCATGGTCTTTGTACCTGTTCTACCCGCTGTACCCAGGACTCAGGTAAGAAATAAGTGTGGGGTATATATTTCATTATACACGAAAAATACCTTATTCGAAAGTTTAAATATATATTTTGAAAAAAAAAACCACACAGAAAAGAAGAAAAACAAACAAAATACAAAATTAAAATTCCCTATTAACTCAATCCTTAATTTTGTTTTTCTTTTAGCAACATGTCGAACCAAAGAAAACTGCATCGAAACAGCTCAACACCATCGTTGTAACTGTGCATCGGAGTACCATTGTATTGATAGCCATTGCCATTGTGGGTATCCCAGCACGTAATAAACAATATAGAAATGTATTACCTACGTGATTAAAATTAATATAACATATTTTTTCTTTCTTTTTTTTATATTTTTAGAAATTGTATTTTTATCTATGTGCTGTGAGATACTGAAACGTCGTAGTTAACTGTAGATAATTAGTCGTCTCTAGTTACGCCCCAGTCGACTTTTTACTTACTGGATTTATGGTGATTAGACTTAATATCAAGGGGTGGGACTGCGAGTGCGTATGATCTAATGCGTGTGTAGGGGGTGTCATTGAGTCAAGTGGTGTGGTTTCGATTCCTGTCGTCTGTCCAACTTAGTGCGTTTTCTCTCAGTAATTTGGTTTCCTCCACTGCTTAAGCCCCTACGCGCAAACTAATTATTTAAATAAAACTGAACCATATTTTAATTCCGACATGGCCTAAATTGTGTCCAGTGGATGTTAAACTTAATCCCCATCTTTCGAAAACTGGTGTCGTCAAAGAGAGAACTTACAGTCGTGGCCAAAAGAATAGGACCACGCTTGAAAATGGTTGGATTTCTTACATGTAAATTCATTTGATCATATATCTGCCCCCTGAAGACCGGTTTCCACAAATGAGGTATCAATTAACTAAATTACAGAAGTGTCGATGCAATTTACAGTATGTTCTATTACGAAAAGGAATAGTGACATGAAGATTTCTGAAAGAAATGAACACAATCCCCTTAACACAATACACAATGGTCAATAGTGATAAACAAAATCTTCTAAATATGTTATTCGGTCACGAGAAAAAAAAACAGATGTGTAAAATGTATTTTCCTGAATGACTATACACTATACTAGTAATCAAAGTTTCACTAGTGAACCCTACTTTCGATGTGTACTGTTACTAGACAGTGGAATTATTATAATAAACTTACAAACAACTCGAGCTTGATGTTTTCTGGCGGACATTAATGTTTTGTTATTGCAGATTATCAAACAATGTGCATTGTCGATGTTTAATGCTCTTTTTATTTGTCTAAATTATCAAACTGTCATGACCTGATTTAGTTATCATTGTCGACGTACAATATTCTATGTTCATGATCGTCGATCTTTTGCTTTATAGTATATTGTCAAATCATTCATTATTTTTTTTTGATAATCATTGTCATGTACTAATATAAAGAATTTGTCGAGGAATACTTGATACTTACAATTAACAAAGTTGGATTAACGTATTTCCAAAGGAAATTAAATAACACAGTGGGCCTCTTTCCTAGCATTTTTTCCATGTCATCGACAAAACGACCAGCGCCTAAAATAAAAATAGGGATTGCGGATGTTGACGATGAATTGGGAGTATTGTTATTAAATTAATGCCCACAATATAAATGCGTATTCTCATTTAAAAGGGGCACAATTACATATTTTGTTGTCTTGGCTTTAAATATGACTTTTGCAACACCTAGATTACGCGTTTGCGTAGATGATAGAATTATTTTTAATCGATGTATGTTTCCTGCCATTAACCTTGGCTTGCTTTCTTGCGTATGTCATATTGTCTGTGGACTCTGTCAAATCCGACATCGTACGGGATCGTTACAATATGTCGTATTACACCGAGTGTCGGAATACCCAGTTTTCTCAAAACCGGAAATATTGTAACTTCGAAAACCGGAAGTATTATTACAATGTAGCTTCGAATCACGAGAATGTTATTCCCTTTAAAAATGATAAACCTTTCTGTACCTTCAAAATTTTATTACATGCATTTTTATTTCATTTAACATGCGTAGGCATTTTGAATAGGTCTAGTCTGTCGTTAATTTATCTTCTTCGCCGTCTTCAGTTGATCGCACTCTTGTCTTTGCTATCACGTGTTCATTGCTAATGGGCGTACTCGATTGAACGTTCCAGAATTGAATTCTCTCAATCCCACAAATAGTGACAATCTAGTGAAAATCGGTACTTCGGGCTACAACGCATGCGTCGACTGGATATCGCATCCAACCATGCAGCCGAAACCTGTTCGTCGTGTTTAATTACGTCACAATTCTACTCACACCACCTCCGTCGTCGGGACTGACAGAACTGTGACAGGACTGAATTCCGCGTCACTCGATTGCAATCCTCTCAATTCGGGACGTTCCGGACTGTGAATCGAGCATTCCCAGGTCGTCGTCCACACGGTTAGAAGAGATCCGTAGGGTGACCAAACATATAGGTTATTTAGGTTCAATCGGCATGCACAACGAATGTTTCCAACAGGTGCTAGTAATCCGTGGATATTCTTGTGTATTTGTCACAACTGTCGTACAAGAGATTAAAATTATCAAAGTAATCAACAAAGACCCACGGTGGCGAGTTTTAATCCCACACATAATTGATTGGTGATTGCTTGTTAATCTTTTGTGACTTCACGCCCATCGAGTTTTAATCTCGCCGATAATTGATTGGCGAGTGTTTGCTTCAAACCTACCGATTGAAGGTCGGATTATACGGTGTCGTAACGGATGATTGATGTTTTAATCCGGAATATTCAGAGGTCGAATTACCCAGAGATTTTTTGGCTGAAGTAATAATGAAATAAATCGGGATATGAAAATGGTGTCGGATTTCACGGGGTGCCGGAATGATCAGATGTCGGGTGTGACAGAGTGCACTGTATATTTGTATGATTAATTTTGGTATCAGACCACCTGTATTATGCTGTTCATATTTTTTTATATACTCATACCTTATGTAAGAACTATATAATTTTGCCTATTGTGGGTCTTTTTTTCTAGCTCCAAATGGTATATAAATTGTTATATGGACATTTATTCACACGATAAGCCATAGCCATCGGGTGGCTTAAATATTGAATGGTTTAGAATACCTTCACCATTTAAAAAAAAACCTGAATATTACGGGTCTTGCTTCTGGCGTCAAATGCTAAATACATTATTATTTCGACATTTATTCACATACCAAGTCCATAATCAGCTGTCTAGATCAAAGGGTGGTTTCGATATTGAATTTATTAGACCACAATCGGTTAAGGTGAAATCAGAGGTGGTTTATTATCGTAGCACATGTAATGGCACTTGACAATAAAGACTATCATCAAAACTTCAAACACTTATTTCATCTGTGTAGAAATATATTGCCTACAACAAAACTGTAAATTAGCTATCTACCGTATATCCATCCAATAATAATTGCTTCAATGGCCGTTGTCAAAAACACAGTAACTGAAGACATATACCAATCTACAAGTTGAAAAATATATACTCCTGCCTGCAATATAAAACAATTGTGTTTCGTTCATTTATTATCTGGAAACTAAACTTCTTTTTGTTTGGTAAGACGAGTTTAAGAATGGATGGAAAGGGGGTGCCTTATTGTCGATTCATAGCCATATTTTCAGATGCCTACTTAAAGGAGCTAAATCGCCAATATTTGGACCTAGAAATTGACACAAATAGGTCACCACGCAAATAATACTGTAATATGAATTTATATAAACTGTTTTACTTTCAATGGTTTCCGTTTTTACTCTAATATCAAATCTGTTATGTTCCACGAAATACGCCAGAAGTCTCAATCGAATGGCAATCTCTAGCGTCTGGTTATTCCAGTCAAAATAGTATTTATTGCGTATTGTGCATACTCTTCAGATAGGAATAGTCCGTCTCCGTTTGACATGACTTGTGGAATATATGTCTAGCCTCGTTCTTCCGAGTCCCTTGTTACAAATGGGGCTGAAACGCATTATGGTACGCGATTCGTGTACCAATGGTAAAATGTTTATTTTGTCTTAGATATTGGATATTATAAATCCATCTTTTCCCGGTAAAAACACAACATCAATGTTGATTTAAATTGACAAATAATTCGTTTTTTCACTGTCAAAGACTTTGGGTGATATGGAGTTGGAGACTTAGCTACTTTAAATATAGATTTATGTTTTTTTTAACATATTTATTAAACGAACATTTTCATTGCAGTAGCACCACTGTAGCAACATATATATACCGATAAATTCCATTATCAGTTAAGGTGACTTCGCATTCCTGGCCAAATTTGTAAACACGGGGTGGAACCCGATACCTTCAGGTTGGCGAGCCAGTACCTTACTCACTGAACCAAAAGTTTACTAATAATAATTAAAACTAAGAATAGAATCACTGCTATACAACTGACTTAGTAGAAAGAGTTGGTGAAGTCCAAGTCTCACTACAAGATAAGACAGCTTACAACTGATTATAGTGGGGCGGATATGAAACATTTTTTGGTCGAGTTGAGCACTTCCGGAAAGAAGAATGAAAATTTGGCCATGGGGGTTTTGGGGTATGCTGATTTCAAAAATGGCGGGAACCACGACGTCGCTCCAGCCGTTCCTGCCAAAAATCGAGAAATTCAAAATGGCCGCCATAAAACACGTTCTCGTCCTTAAAATTTCTGTAAGTGCACCGATTTCAATGATCTTGATGTCTATACCTATGTTTTTGAGGTCAGGAAATCCAGTAAAAGACATACGAAGACTCATATTGTTCTCCTTCATAGTGTTTTCTAAAAACGGTCATAATTATTATTTGCACCTTCTTCTTTGCTAAAAGGATGTCAAGAATTCATTATGTTCCATTTCAGTGGAAATTAGCTATTACTTATCAAAGACAAACAGTCTACATTTCATGTCAATCACCATGTTATATATGCAGACCATAGTGTTGTAAAAATATTCAGTAAATGTCTGAACTTTCTTCATAAATCCGATATATTCAGTGAAAATACATTTAACAAGGTATCAGTATACTTCTATTTTTCAGAAACAAGTGATGGCCATCTGGTCAATCACCTACCATGTCCAAAAGACTTAAACCGCTCCTGGGGCATGTGCTAAAGTTACATCTGTTCAACCGACCAACTGGGAAATTTGTGCTCTGTGTCAAGAACTTGATGGAACCCCTAAACCCATCAGCATCAGGTTACCCGTCTCTGGCTACTAATTTATCTGTCTTTCAGGAATTGAAGAAAGTGCCTTACATATACATATCCCGACTAGATGGTGGTGATAGCATGAA